TGATTCACCACTCGACTCGGTCCTGTGCTTGCTGCTGCCATTATGTACCCGCCAACTTCCTAATCTCATCTGCCCACCTAACCTACTGTCTCCCCCTAACCCGTGTTCTTTCTCTGGAAATCCGGTCAGTTATGCTTAATGACCAGCTGTTATCCTGCCTACGCACTGCATGCCCGGCCCATGTCCATTTCTTCTTCTTGATTTCAACTATAATATCCTTAACCCCGGTTTGTTCACCGATCCACTCTGCTCTCTTCTTGACTCTTAAGGTTACAACTACTATTTTCCTTTCCATCGCTCTCTGCGTCGCCCTCAATTTAAGCTGAACCCTTTTTGTAAGCCTCCAGGTTTCTGCTCAGTAGGTAAGTACCGGCAAGATGCAGCTGTTATTTACCTTCGTCTTGAGGAGGTAGTGACAATCTGCCAGCCATGAGCTGAAAATGCTTGCCGAATCTTCTTTACCCCACTCTTACCCCCGAATGCAGAGATGTTACTTGGCTTGCAACTTCAACTTAACTTGAGCAAGTCGGCGCGAAGCAAGCAGCGGACTTCAAAACGCCCAAGTCAGCCTTCGCGTTTCATAGATGCTCAGGCTGTCTTGCTTGGTCAAGTCAAGAACGAGCTTCAAAGCAGAAACACGCTGCTCGCCTGCTAACGAGGGTAATAATGAAGTTGTTCGCGTAAGGCATGCATTACACCAAAAAAAGACCATACGTTTTGATATAACTATAAAAACGAAGGGCCACAAGCTTATTCTTGCCATTTTACGGCTAACGAGCGGCATGTAGTGCTTGCCACCACAGCGATGCGCAGTGTTGCTTCTGCAAAGCGTTCGTTGCCCGCTGGCTTTAGTGGCCACCCAAATGCGGTGCGTTTCTCCACGCTTGCTTGTTTGGAGGCGAAACAAGCATCGCGTTGGGTTCTTTCGTCGTTTTTTTTTTTTCTCAATCGAACACCATGGCATGTATTTGTGCTGACCTGGCTCACGAGGTGACGCGATTTCCATGGTATTTGCCTTTCTGTTCGCCTGTGTGCATGCCTGTAATGGGCTAGGTCGCAGTTATTATGAAAAAAAATAGAAGTTCTGAGAAGAAATGTGATTCGTATCCTCTTGTTGAGCTTGTTAAACAAGAGAAAAAGCGGGGGTCAGGACATTGCCCTCAGCAGAATTCTGTCTCGCGGAGTGCAGCAATGCATCGCTGCATCATGGGGACGCGGATAAAAAAAACCCGTGATAGGGGCACCTCTTTTTTATGTGTGTGTAATTTTACGTAGCGATGTACTACAAGCGATGCCTTTCTGAGCGAGAAGCAGTGCCCAAGACGGGACGAAAGGATAGACGAGGCACACGGACACAGCACACAGTCAATTTTTTTTTACCGAAAGAGATGGAAAATGTCGTCGTGTTATAGAAAACAGAAATAGCCTTTGCGGTTACGGAACACTTCGGCGTAGTCGACACCGGGGCTATTAATACGCACGTGTGTGTAGTCGACACAACCTGTAACGCAAGGGAACTCAGCCACTTCATAACAGTTCGCCGGCTGCGGAAAGCGCACCAGCATCGCGTTACAGGTGCTTTGCAATGAGTAGCGTAACTTTCCCGACTGCACGGCACACTGTCGACTAAGCGCTCAATCACCCTTGATAATTTATTCTATCATTCACATAACGCGGGTTAGTACAAAAACATACATAACGCAACTCGTTAATCACCTTTTCATTCGTCTGTCCGCGATAACCCTGCGTACGCACACTTCCAATGAACCTTAACCGCGTCCGCAGATCCATAAATAAGGCCCCCTGCAATCGTCAGTGCGGGCACGGAGCCAAAGAAGTCTCCGCGTGAGCGCAACCCACAGAGGAAGAACAACATCTCCGAAGATGCGCACGATTTCTCGAATGTAAAACTGCCGTACGCAACCCATTCCATCTGAAGGCGAGGCAGAGAGGGGAGGCACCGTCTCGACGGTCGCACCGGGCCACAGAACACTTATCAGTGGCCGGGCGGCCGGGGTGGCCGCAGTGCCGACGTGGGGGCGAGGCCCCGGCGCCCGCCTGTCCCGCTAGTGCAGTCAGAATGGGCTAGGGGCAGTGGAAAGAATGAAGCGGCCAAGCCGGATGGCATGGCAACGTCTTGGGTTCTGGCGGGTAATCATAGCGGCGGCCGTGTAGTATACTGAAGCTGTCGAGAGCGTCTGTATTTCGCGCGCGTGCGTCGTAGCCTAAGAAAGCGCGTTTTGAGTGCTTGTAACACATTACTGATATTCTAAACGATGTCTCAGCGTCTCCTACGCGTCATGGCACACAATGCCCTACGGGCCCTGAGGGTATTCTAATAAATAAATAAATAAATAAATAAATAATAATAAATAAATAAATAATAAATAAATAATAAATAAATAAATAAATGTGCAGGTGCGTCGTAAATGCGCTGAGCTAATTGCCTGTTTGTGGAGCCTATCGATCCTAACAGAAAGCGACAATTGTTCAGCTCGATTGTTTCTTGAGTAAGCTGAGTACACGTAACGCAACCTCAATGTTATTATTGATCATCAGCCTGACAACGTCCACTGCAGGACAAAGGCCTCTCCCGTGACTCACCACTCGATTCGGGCCTGTGCTTGCTGCTGCCATCATATACCCGCGAATTTCCTAATCTCATCTACCCACCTAACTTACTGTCTCCCCCTAACCCGTTTGCTTTCTCTGGAAATCCGGTCAGTTATGCTTAATGACCAGCTGTTATCCTGCCTACGCACTACATGCCCGGCCCATGTCCATTTATTCTTCTTGATTTCAACTATGATATCCTTAACCGCGGTTTGTTCACTGATCCACTCTGCTCTCTTCTTGACTCTTAAGGTTACAACTACTATTTTCCTTTCCATCGCTCTCTGCGTCATCCTCAATTTAAGCTGAACCCTTTTTGTAAGCCTCCAGGTTTCTGCTCAGTAGGTAAGTACCGGCAAGATGCAGCTGTTACTTACCTTCGCCTTGAGGAGATAGTGACAATCTACCAGCCATGAGCTGAGATTGCTTGCCGAATCTTCTCCAGCCCACTCTTATTCTTCTAGTTACTTCAGTCCCATGGCTCGACTCTGCAGCTACTACCTGTCCTAAGTAGACGTATATACCTTTTCCAACTTCAAGTGCACTGCCACCTATCTCGAAGCGCTGTTTTCTTTCGAGGTTGTTGTTCATTACTTTCGTTTTCTGCCGGTTTATTTGTAGATTCCAAGAGAAGGAAAGCGGGAAAAGGGGAGACAAAGTTTGGTGGGCAGATGAGATTAGGAAGTTTGCGGGTATGAAGTGGCAACAGCAAGCAAAGGACCGAGTTGACTGGCGGAACAGGGGAGAGGCCTTTGTCCTGCTGTGATGATGATGAGTATGTGAATGTAAAAGTACGTGGGTGAGTGCACCTGAGTATGGGTAGGCGTAAGTATGAAGGTGAGTTCTTATGCGAGTGCGGAGGTGATTGAGGGCTTATGATCTTGAGCAGGTGTGAGTATGAAAGTGAGTGAGTAACTATGAGTCTTAATTGAGGTGCACGAAAAATTGAAGTACAAAAAGGAGACACCTGGACATGGCACGCTGTCTCGAGGTGTCTTCTTTTTGTATTTCAATTTTTCGCGCACCTCAGTTAATATGAATTACCAACTCGCCCAGCAGTCCGTGTTTCTCTAAGAGTGTGAGTAGTCGTGAGTATGAACGTGAGCCATGAACAATGAGTGTGAGTAGGCGTCAGTATGAACGTGAGTGACTGTGAGTAGGTGTGAGTATGAACATGAGTGAGTACTCATCAGTGTGAGTAGTCGTGAGTATGAATGTGAGTGAGGGCCTATGAGTGCTAGCTGGCGTGACTGTGAACGTGAGCGAGTACTCACAAGTGTGAGTAATCATGAGTATGAAATGAGTGAGTACTCATCAGTGTGAGTAGTCGTGAGTATGAACGTGAGTGAGGGCATAGAGTGTGAGTTGGCGTAAGTTTGAACGTGAGTGAGTGCTCATGAGTATGAGTAAGAGTGAGTGTGAACGTGAATGAGTACTTTCAGTGCGAGTAGAAGTGAGTTTGAACGTGAGTGAGTACTCATGAGTTTGAGTAGGAGTGAGTATGAACGTGAGTGAGTACTCTCAGTGAGACAAGGAGTGAGCATGAACGTGAGTGAGTACTTTGAGTGTGAGAAGGAGTGAGTATGAACATAAGTGAGGAAGAGTGAGTGTGAGTAGGCGTGAGTATGAACGTGAGGGAGTACTTTGAGTGTGAGAAGGAGTGAGTATGAACGTGAGTCAGTACTCTGAGTGTGACAAGGAGGGAGTATGAATGTTAGTGAGTACTCATGAGTGCGATTGATTGATATGTGGGGTTCAACGTCCCAAAACGACTATATGATTATGAGAGATTATGAGAAATGACTCATGAGTGCGAGTACGCGTGAGTATGAACGTGAGTGAGGGCCTGTGAGTGGGAGTAGACGTGAGTATGAACGTGAGTGAGGGTGAAGGCTGAAAAATTTGTGGTGAGTGAGTATGAGTGAGTAGTCTCCCAAAGTGCCGACCTAGGGCCGTAGCACCATTCAGTACGTCAGAACGCACACGACTACCACGTTCGTTGGAATTGAAAGGGCGGGGCGCACATCCCCGTCAAGATAAAGGTACACCCTGCCCAAGGGAACCCATATGTTTCGAAGCGATAGCGTTGAATCCCACGTACCAAAATTATTTTGCCAAAGGTAGAAGTAAATGGTCGCTGTTTCGCTCAGTCATTTTCCATAAAAACTAATTTGAAGGAAAAGGTATAGTTTCGTTACTCGATGTGACGGCAACATTGAATCATACGGGTATGCCTGCACGGAAATGGAAGTTCTTTCCCTCATTGAGAACTTGGTATAATTGAATTTTATTATTTGGAGCTCGAGATGTATTATTAGGCAGAACGTAAGAACTCAGGGCTATACTACGAGGAGAAAGTTCCGTATTGACATTTTTTTTCGTTACAGCTTCAATCCGACCTAGAGCAGTGCGTATTCCGCTGCTTGGTACACGATACTTACAGCCATTCGAAGATGCAGAACCGGACGACTTTTGCAATAGATGGGACACCCTGCTCTGAAACTGAACCACAAAAGGTGATAAATGTTTTTACTCTTCTAGGGCAAGTGAAAACTCCGAGTGCACCCCTGATTACCCGTTCATGTGGCAAGCTTTCAAAAAGACATATATACAAAAAAACATTTCCATGCTTAGCGAAACCTTTCACATTTATGTAAAAGGTTTTGGAACTAATGGGTAGATTTACTGCTTTTATCGTGAGTGTGTACGAGTGCGTATCTTTAAAGGGGCCCTGCAACACTTTTTGAGGATAGTCAGAAAATGCTGCCGATCGGTAGTAGAGGCTCCCGAGAACAAGCGAGCCAAACAATATAACGCAGCACCTGGCCTGAAATTCACAATAAATGATCAAAGCCAGCAAAAATTGCTTTTTAATCTCTCGACAAATCACCATTAAGCCTAAAAATCACTCTTAGTGAAAGGTGCTTGATTGGGCTGGTTGGTGCTGCATGGTAGACGAAGAAAGTGCTTAACAGCGGAAACGACAAGAGGGGATAGAAGAGACTGTTCAGCGCTCTGTTCTCGTCTCTTCTATCCCCTTCTGTCGTTTGCGCTGTTAAGCCCCGTCTTCGTCTACCACTCTTAGTGCCATCTATCAGCCATTGACTGATTTGAACATTGCGCGCTCGGTCGTTACAGAGATCGCCGAGGGAGGCCTGCACTTATCCATGAGTGCGCGCACGATCACACTGAGAAAAATGCCGCGTATTCGAAGAAAAAAAAGGAAAAAAATATTTAAGGTCACAAGGCTTGCGTGACGTTTTTTGTTTGGCCCTCGCCCACCCCTCGCTGCTTAGCTTCCAGTGCTTTCGTCGGAACAGCAAAAGAGAAGAATTCGTTTGCAGCGTGTGAAAAATGTTTGTAACTTCGCTCGTACTGTAAGGATTCTAAAAAAAGTTGCGGTCTTGAATTTGTGAGGCAATACGCTTTTCCAGTGAAATAATTCAATATTTACTGAAAAAAGTGTTTCAAGGCCCCTTCAAATTATTTTCTCTGTTTTTCACTGCAACGTCTTTAAAAAAAAAGAAATATGACTGAAGTTATTAGCCAGCTCACGCTGTCTGTTCATCTGAAGCGAGACAATAGAAGGTGAAGTTCTCAAGTAGAAAGAGCCCAGCAAACGACAGGCGCAGCTGGGCGTGCTTTACGGACATGCCCTTGCCTTCGCCTCTTTGCGACTAGACTTCGCTATATGGCGCTGACGCACAGAAAGGTCGCCACTTACGCAAGATGGTTAAAAATTTGGGAGGCTGTGCATGAGTCATCGTCTTACATGCAATCAACAGTTTCTGTAGAACAAATATACGCCACAGCAGTACAGCAACATATCTTCAAAGGCGTAAGCTAACGTTTCGTTACACTCATAAAAACTTCGTAGAAAAAGATGTCCCTGCGTTTGCTTCACACATGCGGAATAAATGCGTACATAGAGAAAAAAAAAGTAAATCCTTCGGAACCTTTTATTGACCATTTTGTGAAAATCAACTTTCAATCGCATGGGGAGAGCATGCATCTCTCAGAACAGTCATATTAATCAGACATGCACAGGTTTTACTTTATTCTAATATTCACAGTACTGTAAATCGCGTGATATCGTTTCTAAGCAGGAAACGAGTAGATCAATTTTCTGATCCATCTTTTCTTTTACAGATATGCCACAACATGGTCTGTGTCAAGCCCTAGTAAAATAGTGGACGTTTCTGAAAGAACAAACGTGCAGTTTGCACTTCACCAAGCAGATTGCCACCCCCTGTCGCATTTAGCGAAGCAGATTGCCACTTCCTGTTCGGAATAAAGGTGTTTTTTGTATAAAGAATGAACGCGACGATTAAGGCTTCTGTTCGTGCAGCGATTAGTTTTGAACTATTCACTCATATTATCGCAGGGTCGTGACACTAAATAAAGCAGCAGTCGCCGTGTCCTAGATGAAATTGTTTATTTGGTTGAACGTGCGGCCGGGAAACGGTAAGTTAGACAACAGCAATACCACGGCCGCTGGCAATACACACTGCACAATGGCAACGACGAACACAACGTCGGCTGTTGAGAAAACTGATGAGCGCTATAATGTAGCTCGCGCGGGCTCTATTCCAAACATGGCTTTTCGCATTATGTGCTTGTTCTTTCACATTTCGCATTCTGTGCTAAAAGTCGTAGGCGGCAAGATAGATAGATAGATAGATAGATAGATAGATAGATAGATAGATAGATAGATAGATAGATAGATAGATAGATAGGTAGATAGATAGATAGATAGATAGATAGATAATTGATTAGATTGATATGTGGGGTTTAACGTCCCAAAATCACTATATGATTATGAGAGACGCCGTAGTGGAGGGCTCCGGAAGTTTAGACCACCTGGGGTTCTTTAACGTGCACCCAAATCTGAGCACACGGGCCTACAACATTTCCACCTCCATCGGGAATGCAGCCGCTGCGGCCGGGATTCGAACCCGCGCCCTGCGGGTCAGCAGCCGAGTACCATAGCCACTAGACCACCGCGGTGGGGCGTAGATAGATAGATACATAGATAGATAGATAGATAGATAAATAGATAAATATATAGATAGATAGATAGATAGATAGATAAATAGATAGATAGACAGATAGGTAGATAGATAGATAGATAGATAGATAGATAGATAAATAGATAGATAGATAGATAGATAGATATGCTCAAAATCAACAAACATGTCTCGCATTTAAAACTACATGCTAATGCTTACCACAGCGTGTCTAACCAGAGAACTCTTGAACCGCAGCGCTAAACTCTATGCCACAATCACAATGCGCATGCAGATAACAGCGCTAACAGCAAGCCGCTTATATACACCATATACTATTTGGCGGTCCTCGGAGCTCCTTAGCGTCAGCACGTTTTCGTCATCAGTAGATGAGCGTGCCTATGGCTGGACCCCTTCGCATTGTCATGGATCCGCTGCTTTCTGAGAGATCGCCTCCAATACACAGTTTTCGGAAATCGATGTTCAGTCACTACTGATGTGATTTCTGGAGTACCACAGGGATCCGTCCTTGGTCCTCTGCTCTTTCTCATCTTCATAGACTACCTTCCTACCGGCAGTTCATCTCCCATTCGACTTTTTACAGATAACCTGTGTTTTTTATCGGCGCATTGCACACCATAGTGACCATGATATCATCCAAAATGATTTAGATCTATCCAATCAAAACCTGTTGTTTCGACTCATTAATAAAACTCAACGTCTCGAAATGCAAAATGATGCAGATAACCCGCAAGCGCTTAAACAATAGTTACACCTACTCCCTGAATTCGCTAGCTTTGTCCTCCGTCGAATCATATCGTTATAGTGGTCTCACAATAAATAACAATTTGGCGTGGTCCGATCACAGCACAAAATTAGCTGCCCATACTACTAAATAACTTGGTTACACAGACGTTCCCTTTCCTTGTGTCCTCCTTGTGTCCCTCAGCCACGCGAAAACTGGCGTGTGAAACATTTATACGGAGTAAGCTATGATATGCCTCATCTATTTGGAGCCCTCACCAAGCATACCTCCTTATCGCTTTATATTTATACAGAAACGTGCGGCCAGATTCATCTCTTCTAGGTACAGCCGTGATGAAAGCGTCAGTGCCATAAAGTCATCCCTGGGACTCGAGTCATTGTCATTCCGACGTAAGATTGTAAGGCTGTGCTTGTTCCATATAGGCTCTATTACAAGTTTCCTCAACTTCGTGGTAAACTCCTAAACCCCCCACACCGCACATCTCGTCGCCTTTTTAACACCTGCAGCATGCAGTGGTTGCATGGCTCAACGTCTTCTTTCAATCAATCTTTTTCGCCGATCGCCATTGCAGAGTGGAATACATTGCCAGATAGTGTTGTCACCGAGCATAACCCCATCGTATTTAAGCAATTGCGCACTGATCTTTTCACGCTGCAATATTCATTACGACCTTACACTGTTCTTCATGTGTCACTAAATTAAAAAGTTTTTATTTTGCATATAAACTGGTAATCAATTTCACTAAGATGTGTTTCAAATTTGTGATCTGACAAGTCTCCTGTCTAACTTTCTTATGTTCCCCCCCCCCTTATGTATTACCCCAAAGGGGGCCTGTAAGAGAAAATAAACGAGGACGATGATTGTGATAATGATGATGTTGATGATGGTGATTGTATAGGGTGCCTTCATGTGCTCACCACCTCGCGGCGAGCACATAAGGACTCTCTGGCGTTGGGTCTGCTCCTAAGGTCATCGCTTCTGGCATTTCGTGGAGCGCTGTCTCCACGGGGCGTGATCTTTCCTGTGCGATTCCAGAGAGCAAGGTCACTTCTCTAGCTACCGCAGCTGCAATTACAAAATAAGCGTACTACTTACGCACAAAGAAGTGAAAGTTGTTACAGTTGTCAGTGCTTGTCCTGTGTGTACTTGTGCGTTCGTTTCGTGTGCCTTTTTTTTCTGTATATAGAGGACCGGTGGTGGTGGTAAAAAACATTTATTTCAGAAAACGTCTACTAGAGAGTGCCGACGTGGCCCATCGGCGTGCTAGAGTGGCCAGACCCTATTTCGGGACGCCAGTGGAGCTGGAGGCTGCCCGTGCGCGCTCCACCAATGAGCGTTGCGCAGCCAAGGTAGAGCAGCCGAGCAGATGCTCCTCGCAAGCCTCTCTAGTTGGGATAGGAAAAGGGGATGAGAAAGGGACGGGATTAACTGGGCACGATGCTACGACGTGATATGTGTCGGCGAGGACATGACAGGTCGAGCAGGTGCCATTGATTTCCGGCAAAAAGTGCCTGGCGAACGCCGGATTGATAAAGGTGTTAGTCTGCAGGCGGCGTAGCAGTCATTCGTCCGCTTTCTCCAAACCACGTGCGGGGTCCGGGTAGAGGCGGCGCGAAGCCCGGTAATAAGCCAAAATTTCGCGAAAGCGCGTCAGGTTGGTATTGCCAGATTCCGTCTCGGGACATGGAGGGGCAACGGCCCGGACAGGAGAAGCGCGGGCAGCGGCACTTGCCGCCTCGTTGCCGGGCAGGCCCGAGTGGCCTGGGGTCCAGACTATACGAATGGGATGAGGGTTAAAGCGCCAAGAGGCTGCCTGTAGTAGGCTAGCCGCCAGCGGGGCAATGGAACCCTGAAGGTACTGAGAACAGGCCGAGCGCGAGTCCGTCAGGATGGTGCGTGAGGCAGGGTGAGAGGCGGCCAAAGCTATGGCAACCTCTTCAGTGTGCGTTACTGTGTCTGCTCGAAAGGAGAGGCCATCGACTTGTTTGCCCTCTGTAATCACGGCAGCCGTGAAGTGACCCGAGGGGGAGGGACCCGAGACGTCCACGTAGAAAAGACCAGGACGATCGGAGTGTCGCGTATGAAGGGCCGCGGCGCGTGCTAGTCTACGGCCAGGATGGAGGTCGGGGTTCATATTACGGGGTAGAGGTTCCACCCACAGCTTTTGACGCCAGAGCTCTGGTACCGGCTGCAGAGGGTCTTGGTCAGATATCGGGTTAAGGCCAAGTCTGTGTAGAAGACGGCGCCCTGAAGGCGTCTGCGACAGTCGATTGATTTGGTTGACGCGATGAGCTTCGCGCATCTCTGCAAAGGTGTTGTGTACCCCCAGAGCCGCGAATCGGCTGTTGGAAGTTGCAATGGGTAGGTCCAGAGCGCGTTTGTATACTGAACGAAGAAGGACGTCCAGCTGGTGCTCGTGTCGACGACGCAGGTGAAGGTAAGGCAAGGCGTAGAGGACGCGACTGATCACAAACGCGTGGGCCAATCGGAGGGGCCTGAGACCCGCGGAGGCCGCCGCGCTTGGTAGACACTCGCCGTATCATGCGGCTCACCTGCTCGCTGGTGCGTCTGAGGCCTGCTATTGTGCCCTTTGGATCCAAGCACGATGTGAGGTGAAGGCCAAGAACCCGAACACTTTGCACTGACGGGACGGGCCCGGACGGAAGAAAAATTTTAGGCGGCGGTAGCGGAGAGACTGAAAGAAGAGCCGATTTAGCTGGAGAGCACTCCATGCCGCATGAACCAGCGTAGGTATCCACCAGAAGGGCAGCCTTTTGCAGGCGTTCTTTGATTTGCGCTAAGGAGCCGGTGTTGGTCCAGATTGTGATATCGTCCGCATATAGTGCGTGTTGTATTCCCTCGACCTCGCTTAGAAGAGAGGGGAGGTTCGTCATCGCCAGGTTAAAAAGCAGAGGAGACAGGACTGCCCCTTGAGGTGTACCCCACGTGCCTAATAAGTACGGGCCGCGTTCGGTAGAATTAAGGCGAATGAAGGCGGTGCGATGTGATAGAAAGGCGCGAATGTAGTTGAAAGTCTTCTGCCCGCAGTTTGTGGTAGACAGGTTAGTGAGTATAGTGCTGTGTTTGACGTTGACAAGCACGGCTTTATCGTTATGGCGCATAGTAGTCGGCTCTATGATATCGTGTTGAAGCTGGAGCAGGACGTCCTGCGCCGACAGATGCGGGCGAAAGCCAAAAATCGTGTCGGCAAAGGTCCTCCTGGCCTCCGAGTAGGCGGAAAGGCGTTCGCGAACCATGGTTTCCATGAGTTTGCCTGCGCAGGACGTAAGTGAGATGGGTCTCAGTGCCTCGATACTAACGGACTTTGCCGATTTGGGTATGAATGTCACGACCGATGTGGTCCATTCCGATGGCAGCGGAGAGCCGTCCCATATCGAATTTATAAGGTGGAGTAGCGAGAGGTGTGCTTGGTCGGGAAGATTTGCCAGGAGCGATACTGTGATTCCGTCGCGTCCAGGGGCCGTGCCCCGTCGCATTTTCGTGAGTGCAAATCGTAAATCGGAAAGCGTGTATGGGGCGTCGAGGTCGTTGTAAGGGGCGCCGGGATACGTATATGCTGGGCCCGCGGGATCAATTGTGCGGCAGATGTAGCGGTCACAAACTTCTCGCGCGAGTTGATCCGTAGTG